AAGTTTCAGGCTAGGTCATTCTTCAGAAGACATGATGATTCAATTGTTCTCACTGCCCTGACTTATTACTGCACAAAGGGACCCCAGAAGAGGCTTAGTAAATGTTTGCTGAGTGAATAATATACGGTTTTGCTTGATATCTAAATTCCTACTAGGTAGATTTGAGGCATAATGGGGAAGACATCCATCCTATAGATGCCTTTGATGGTTCTGTAGGAAGTAAGGTAAAGCTTACTTTAGTACAATCAGTTTTCACAAACATTAGCCAGTCACAATGCCTGCCTTTTAAAAATATCAGAGATAGGCAGAAATGACATCAAGTTCAGCAGGGGGTCAGAGCTAAGAAGGACCAAGTGGCTGTCAGAAAATCAGGTATCAGTTTCTAGTCCTGGGATTCTGAAGCAAGGATTTGAATTTTCTGAGTAAAAATTGGCAGAAAATATGACAAACAGACACTAGGAAATGAAGATAGCACCAATAAAATCCAGTCCAACTAACTGGATTCTGGCCATTCAGTGACTTCATTAAACTAATTCTGTGGTCACTTTCTTGGCCATTAAACCGCTCTTTGCCTGCCTCTTGTACCTACCAACTCACCCAAATCCCATTTCTTCTCACCTAATTCCCCATTCTTTTTTCAAAAAAAGGTCAAACTTAGTCTTTTGGAACTATCTGTGTGCAAATAAAGTATTCTAATTTAGTAAAAATTGTGGGAAAGATGTAATTTTAGTGTATATTTTTTAAAATAAGTATATATTCATATGCAGAGAGCAATCTTTAGTGAACTGGCTATGAGTCATGTGAAGCAGGACAGGAACCCTAGGTGTGACCTACCCTGCTGATAGAGATTGGGCTACCAAGGTACAATGCAGTACATGCACATTGTTTACCCAGCACCCACACAGAGCTCATTAGCCCATACAACAGGGTGCTCTGCTCCTCTGGGCTTACAGGTTAACTCAAAGTCAATAACTGCGGGGGTGAATCTCACATGTAGAGCAGATGTAAGCCTTTTTAAAAGTTATAAATATGACTAAATGGCTCTTACCTCTGTTAAAAACGTATTAGAAGGCCTTAAACTTACTCCACAGTTCATTAATCCAGTGGTTAATCAGGAATAATGATCTGCCAGAAAAAATGTAAGAAGCCATTCCTCTAACTAAAGCAACTGCCCCTTGTTCCCCTGGGACTAGGAAACTCCACTGAAGCACATCATGGACTAAGGTTCTAAACTCAAGTTCTAATGTTTGCTTTTGACTCTTCCCACATATTAAAAAAAAGCAACATAATAATGTGGGAAAGTTGCCCAGGTGCCATGGCAAGAGACTGAAGGCACAATCTGTCACAGTATAATAAATAACTGATTACTTAAACGTAGCAATAATACCAAACATATTTACTGATTACTTAGTTATAGCAATGACACCAATTAGACTTAGATTCAATCACATAATCAATTATTTAATCTTATTACATCATTATTCTCTATTAATCTTTGCTTTAGTGTAGGAACATTTCAGTCTTATAGTATAGACATAATCCAGTGAAATACAATTCGGAACTGAAGGGACATTGTGAGAAGTGATCAGGAGGTGAGAGCAAATGCCTTGCGGTAATGCCGGCACCTGAGAAGGTGCGTGTTCCTTAGCAGGCAGGCCTTGGGGTAAAGCCAGCGTCTGGGGAGGCGCCTGCTGCTTAGCAGGCCGTAAGGGGGAGTAGGGGGAGTTTCCCTTTCACTGCGGAGTTTTAGAGAAAGCTCTACTCTGCCGGCTCTTGAGGAAGGTCTGACACTAGCCAGGCCAGCCCACAGACATCCAAGGGTTTTAACACCTCTCCATGGTGCTATGCTCCGATGGTCACCATCCTTGTCCACTTTCATGTTCCATTTTCGCATCTGATGCTCCCTTGTAAATTCTTAGAGGCTGTGAGAATTAAGAATAGAGGAATCCTAGAAGCCTTTGATCTCTCTGATAACTGCATAGAAAGATACTGACATATATGCCTCCACTCCTTGCAGCAGCTACCTGAAAGAGAGGGGCCCTCTGTACTGTACCCATGTGACCCACTGTACTATATCCACGTGATCCCTAAACTGTACCCACGTGGCCCCCCGTATTGTGAGAATGTGATTTGCTTGACCCCTAAGGATCGTGTCAGATGAGTTACTCTCCTGGCTCTGCCCCCCTGCCTATGTATACAATAAATATCAGTGCTTCCAGGCATTCTGGGCCACTGTTGGACTCCACCCCTTCGTTACAGTGGCCTCCTGAGCCCAGCCGAATTCTTTTCTTATCTCTGTGTTCTTGTGTCTTTCTTTTCTAAGATCTATCATCTCGGCACACAAAAGAACACCCACTAGACCCTGCCGGGCTGGAACCTGCAGCTTAATGCACCGTCTCTTACGGATAGAATTAATTTATCCAAAAAGACCCACATTTACAAAATTTCTAACAATGTGCACAGACTAAGTCTCAGAAATAGTTCTTAAAATGGGGTAAGGATAGCCAGGCATGGTGGCACGTGCCTGTAGCCCCAGGTACTTGGCAAGCTAAGGTGGGAGGATCAATTGAGCCTGGGAGGTGGAGGCTACAGTGAGCCAAGACTGGGTCACGAAACTCCAGCCTGTGCAACAGAGTAGAACTGTATCAAAAAACAAACAAAAAACTCATATTCTTGGACTAGAGGTTGTTGTTTAATATAAATAAATAAATAAATAAATAAATAAATAAAATGGGGTAAGGCAATGATTTATAGTTTATGTCATCTGAGCAGAAGGTATGGAATATGGGAAGGAAAATCTGGACATTTTTTTGGCAGCCACAGAACCTTCTATTATGGCATGCATATTGAATCTGAACACAAATTACTTCTGTGTTCCATCAAAATGGGACTCACTTTATTCTATGTCTTCAAGAGATAACACTACCCTGAGTCCAGCCTCACTGAGTCCTAGGATGGCCCTTCAGAGTTAGTCTGGGTGGAACCCACAGCACAGCCAACCCTATAGCAAATCCCAACTCTCTCTTCTCTTCTCTAGAGCTGCTCTAGAAACACATCAGGCCTGAGGTCTGATTCTAGTTCATCCACCATTTGAATTTAATACTTTTTGTAAAAGTGTCAACATAAATAAGATTCTAGTTTTCAAAAAAAGTCTATGTACAAAGGACCATTTCCCAACACACTATGCGCTAGTAAGGCTGTCATCATAGGCAGCTTTCTTTTTTAGCAAAGTAGAGCATGCATAAAGAACAGATGATGTCATTTGGAGAAGATACTCCTGCTGCCAATTACTTAGCTGATCTCCATGGATGGCACCAGATATCAAGATTCAGGAGAGCTTGCCCAGGTTTCTTATTCTACTCCCAAGTAGACAAGAGTGTTCATAAATGGTTACCTCCTTACTGAGGGCAAAGGTCCAGTGGTGCTTGCTACAGGACAACTAAACTGACAGCAACGTGCCCCTAAGATGCAATAAGAGGGTAGAGAGACCACAGGAGTATCATAACAGAAGAAGAGGCAAGAGCTACATACAAAAATTTTATATGATGGAGCAAGATACTGAGGTTGGGTGGTTAATGCTAGTTACTGTCCTCACTTGCAGGCTGTGTGACAGAATAAATAGAGCAGGGTTCTCTCCCCAGCCTCACCTGCTATTATGCTCAATGACCTTGAGCAGTTTCCTTATGAGTAAAATAGGGATAATGATACCTACCTGCCTGGAGTGCTATGAAGACGAAAAAGACAACTTGTATAAGGTGCCTAATCTAATGCCTAACACACAAGGGGCATTCAACAAATGTTGGCCTCCCATTCCACATCCTTTCCTTGTCCCACTCTCTCCCAACTGCTGAAACTCACATTTTCTCTTCTTCCGTCTGGTCAAAATAACTTGGAAAACTTCACCTTGGTATACCCAAACACCACTGACCTCCAAAGAGCCACCCACATCAGTTCTCATGGTAACAGACCCAGAGGCTGAGTCAGCCTCTACGGCTTCCGCTCTCCCCATCAAAAGGACAAGTTTTCTCTGGAGGTTGTACAACTTTGATGAAAAAAACTGTCATGGGAACAGGCAGTACAGAGAGAACATTTCACATGCTGTCTCAGGCATCAGAAAGTTGCTGTATCATAGCCTTCAACATTGCAGGGGATGCTGCAGAAATTTCACAAAGGCTTTTGTGCCAAATGTGGCTTCTCATTAAAACTATACTGGACACGAGCCTTCCTCTAATGAAACTGAGCATCAACACTAATCAGGAAACCATGGCCAGGTGTGGGACCAACTCCTAGCACACCAGCTAGTCCCCAGGGGAAGAAGGAAAGCAGGACACCACACAATGGTCATATAAAGAGCTGCGGGTGAGGTGCAGAGAAAGGAAGAGCTGAAACAAGGCAAACTCGACCGAGTGGGTCATCCAAAATGCCTCTTCCTTCCTTTCCACTTCAGCTGGGCTTTTATATAACTTTGGCATTATGAACTCAAAAGTATGTCACAGGTGTGTTCCTGTTTTCCCTCTTGTTTAGATGAAAACACCAGGCAGAAATGGGTATAGAATAGAAACAGTAAATATTGGAAATGGGGTAAAAATAGGGTTTTATAGCCAAACTGAGTTTTTAAAACTATTTGTATTTTATTTTCTTTTTAAGTTTTGTATATATTGGTATTTCCAGGCAGTTGTCAAGAATCAGTGCACTGAACTGAGTACATCACATTCTCAAAGAACAGGTTATTTGTTAATATTTTATACCGGACTTCACAGTGTCCAAAGCACTATCTCCCATGTTGGCAATTAGATCCTAATGATATCCCTATAAAGTAAGACAGGTATTAGTATTCCTACTTTTATTTGCCAGATGAGAAAAGTGAGGCTAAAGAAAATTAAGTTATTTTCCCCAAGGTCTGACAGCTAGTGAGAAAGAGTTAGGACACAGAACCAGGTCTTCCCACACCAGGCTGCCTCTCACCAATTTCCCTGATCACACAGCATGGCAGTTCTTACCTTCCAGCTCTTCTTTTTCATAGTGAATGTTGAGAATTGTACTGGTCCCACCCTGATCCACCACAGCTTCTTCATCTGGTCTCTGTTTAAACACAGATAAATAGTCACAGTAATACACATACATCATTCAAATATACAAACCTTGTGTATGCCAGATCCTTTTGAGATACTTAGGGGGAAAACACAATGGTTTACATGTATTTTTACATTTGAACTTCACAATACTTTTTAGAAGTGAATATGACAGCCATTCTCTTCCTCATTCTGTAAATGAGCAGACTGAGACTCACAGACATTAAGTAATGATCCCAGGGTCACAAATGTCATAAAAGAAAGAGCTAAGACTGAGCCTAAGTCTTTTTTTTTTTCACTTTTTAGAGAATGGGCCACCCAGGCTATATTGCAGTGATACAATCATAGCTCACTGCAGCCTTGAACTCCTGGGTTTAAGCAATTCTCCTGCCTCAGCCTCCAGAGCAGCTGGGACTACAAGGAGACGTCATGAGCCCAGGTCTTGTGGCTGTAAATCTCATGACTTTTCCACCTCCCCACTCCATGTATACCTCTGTATAACATGCTGGCATTCTGCAAGTGCTGTGAAGCAGGTTGTCCCATTTGGTATAGATTAGTCTCTCTGGCCTCTTTGCAGCATTTGAGCCGGCTTGCCACACTGTCCTTGAAATTCTCCATCCTGCTCCTCTTGTCAGGTCTCCTCTGACTCATTCTTAGGCCTTTTCTTCCTCTGGTAATTTCAAAGAAAGAGCTCTCTACCCTTTGTTTTCCTCACTTGAGACTTACAGTTTCAACTGTAGTCTGAAACTGTGGTTCAGTCATTGATAAGCCACTAGGATGCCACACCTCAAGATCCATGTGTCTAAAACCAAACTAACTTGCCTTCCAAAACTAACACCCTGTGCTCATTTATTTATTCCTACCAATGGCACCATCATTTCTTAGCCCACGGGTGAAATTTCAAAGTTACTTATTCATCCATACCCATATGCCTTCAGGTAGCTAGTTCCCTTTTCTTACCAAGTCTTCCTTTGCAATTTCTCTAAAAAATTAATTTTCGTATCTCATCCACTCTTCACTACACTCTCCAATGCTTTAAATCGTATTGGGCATTTTTTTTAGTTCTGGAACTACACTCACCTTCTTTACTTAGTGCTACTCTCTCTTCCTGGAACTACCATTCTCTCCTTGCCACTCCCACCCCCACCAGCAGAAGCTAATACTTATTCATCATCTCTGATCTCAGCCTCAACACACTTACTTGAAAGCCTTTTCTGATTACCCACCCCCACTTCCAAACTAAGCTAGGTCCCCCATTTACATATCTTCAGAGCACACTGCAATTCTGGTAGTAATAAAATGTCTTCGCTGCTGAGCATGGTGGCTCATGCCTGTAATCCCAACACTTTGGGAGGTCAAGGCAGGTGGGTCACCTGAGGTCACGAGTTCAAGATTGGCCTGACCAACGTGGTGAAACCCTGTCTCTACTAAAAATACAAAAATTAGGTGGGCATGGTGGTGTGTGCCTGTAGTCCCCCCTGCTCAGGAGGCTGAGGCAGGAGAATCGCTTGAACCTGGGAGGAGGAGGTTGCAGTGAGCTGAGATTGCACCACTGTACTCCAACATGGGCAACAGAGCAAGACTCCATCTCAAAAAAAAAAAAAAAAAAAAGTCTCCTCTGTTCCTTGAGGGAGGGACTACATCTGTCTTCCTCACCACAGTATCCCAGCACCAAGCACAGACTTTTCACATAATAGGTGCTCAATAAATCTTTGTTAAAAGAATGAATACATAATTCTCAAAAGATAAACAGTCAACAAATATATGAAAAAATGCTCAATGTCACTAATCATTAGGAAAATGCAAAGCAAAACCACAATGAGGCATCATCTCACTCCAGTTAGGATGGCTATGATCAAAAAGACAAAATAGAACAAGTGCTGGCAAGGATGTGAAGAAGAACGAATGCTTATACACTGTTGGTGGGAATATAAGCTAGTATAGCCACTGTGGAGAACAGTGGAGGTTCCTCAAAATAGAACTACTATATGATCCAGTAATCCCACTATTGGGCATTTATCCAAAGGAAAGGAAATCACTATATTAAACAGACATCTGCATCCCCATGTTTATCACAGCACTATTCATAAGAGCCAAGATATGGAATCATCCTAGATGTCCAACAACAGATGAATGGATAAAGAAAATGTGGGCCAGGCGTGGTGGCTCAAGTCTGTAATCCCAGCACTTTGGGAGGCCAAGGCAGGTGGATCACGAGATCAGGATATCAAGACCACCCTGGCCAACATTGGTAAAACCCCATCTCTACTAAAAATTTTAAAAATTAGCTGGGCATGGTGGCAGGCACCTATAATCCCAGCTACTTGGAAGGCTGAGGCAGGAGAATCGCTTGAACCCGGGAGGCAGAGGTTGCAGTGAGCCGAGATAGCGCCACTGCACTTCAGCCTGGCAACAGTGCAAGACTCCATCTCAAAAAAAAAAGAAAAGAAAATATGGCATAAATACACAATGGAATACTATTCAGCCATAAGAAGGATGAAATCCTGCCATTTGTGGCAACATGGATGGAACTGAAGGACATTATGTTAAGTGAAATAAGCCAGGAACAGAAAGTTAAACATTGCATGTTCTCACTCATATGTAGAAACTAAAAAAAGTTTATCTCATAGAAGTAAGAAGTATAGGGCCGGGCGCGGTGGCTCAAGCCTGTAATCCCAGCACTTCGGGAGGCCGAGGCGGGTGGATTACAAGGTCAAGAGATCGAGACCATCCTGGTCAACATGATGAAACCCCGTCTCTACTAAAACTACAAAAAATTAGCTGGGCATGGTGGCGCGTGCCTGTAATCCCAGCTACTCAGGAGGCTGAGGCAGGAGAATTGCCTGAACCCAGGAGGCGGAGGTT